ATGGAATTTTTTTTCTCAGTCCTAGACCAGTTTGTGTCCCCTAGGAATTTGCCAAATGTCCCCTCTCGGGGACATGTCCCCCAAGTTGAAAACCGTTGTCCTTAGTGGTGATGATTTGCAAAATTCTAGATTTGTAGCACATGTTCAGTGTGCTAAATATCTTAAGTATTTAAATTATATGACCTCCTTGATTTGGGGTATTCTCTACAAACGAGCTTTATATTAGTAATTGTAAAATTAAAGGTTTCAAATTTAAGATTTTTATGAATTCCATGGTAATTAATCAGAATCTAAGATTATGTCAATGTATTTAGCTATTGTATGGTGCATCTGTATTCTGTGGCATACAGTATATATCTATTTTAATTTACACCAGAGAGCTTGCCTCGCAGACTAATTTACAACGTACCCTTACGTATGTGAGTAAACATTTTGTATTCTAAATGTACTGCATTTCCCTAATGTTTTGAAAGAATAGTTGAAATTTTCCTGAAAACGTCCTCACTGTACCTCGCTGCAGAATTCTGTGAACCAGGTCAACTAGCAAGTGATACTAAACATGGTGCATTACTATAGTCATTACAGTGCTTTTCAATTCATCAATACACCCTTCCGAAAAGTACTTCACCTTGGCTAAAGAGCCTCGTTTTCGTTGACGTGGGCTTTAACTGATATCAGATACACGAAACCAAAGTGACTACGTACTTTCCGGAAGGGTCGGAAGGGTGTATTGTTTAATTCAACTGATAAATTTTGCCATTGCAATGGAACTGCTACGTACATTTGAACTGTCAAAAAAAGGAAAAACGGAGCTAGGGTCATGCATGACCAAGTCTTTGACATAAAACATATTCTTCTAGTTTGTTTAAACTACCGGGTACACACGGTATAGTACATGTATTTTTTTATTTTTAGGATGTTTATTTATGAACTGTTTGCTTGGATTTCTTGCTCAACGATTGTTGCAGGACAGTTCGTGTTTCAACCAGGAAATGTAATCTTAAGAAATCTGGTAATTGATAACAACACTGGGGATGTTTTTGTTGGTGGAGTGAACTATATTTATAAACTGAACAAAAATTTGACACAACTTAAGAATGTGTCTACACCATGCCTTGTAGAAAAATGCAAGCCAGGTGAAACTGTGAATCCTAATGCGAATCAACTTTTGATGATTGAGAATTTAACAGGTACTCCGAGATTGTTTGCATGTGGAACATACATTTTTGGTACATGTGTAACATATGATATGAACTCATTTTCATATACTGTGCTTGACAATACTATTGGCGCTGTTTCAAATATTCAAAATTATAGCAGTATCGCGCTAGAAGATCAATCTAATAATGGAATCCTTATTGCTAGCACAAGAATTGGTGACTCTGAACAGCTACCCACAGATTATACTTTCACCGCTTATTCTGATCAGTTTGTGTGCAGTGGCACAGTAAAGCCATGTATTGGCAAATCCAAACAGATCTTATTGACATCAGAAAGCGAACTAAAGATTTA